TCTCTGTGTAGAAGAGCAAGACTCTTTAAAGGGATGTTGGCGTTGGAGTGAAGTTTAGTTTTTTCAGGATTTTCATCCTGGAACCAAAGAGGAGACTTTGGGTGTGAATGTCCTACATGTGAAGTTCTCTGGCGTGAATACCATTCGTTTCATTGCAATTGTTTTATCTTACCTTCTTTTCCTTTCAGGAAATATAATAAATTCTTTTGTATCATCTGCCCCTTGTCTCTGCCCCTCTCTCACTGTTTTTGCCAACATAGTTTTTTCATCACACTTCTCTGAGGTACTGAGATTCCTGCCAGGTGGGAACTTAGGTGGCACAAAGCAGCTGTTTCCTTTCTTATGTTTCATGTCTGGGGCCACCTAATGAACCCAAAGTCAGAGGTGGTGAACTGTCAAGTGACTTCCTTGAGCCTTTTCTGTCTGATACAAGGTTTGGAAGGATAGTAATGTTTGCTCAACAATCTGTACATGATACAGGGTTTTTTGCATATTCCCTGTTATACCTGTAATAATCTGTAGTTGTTAAGTGTATTAAGTTGGTTGGCCTATTTTTAAATACTGTTTCCTGTAAAGAAGAGTGAAAGCGTAAATGAAGATCCCATACCTCTATTCCCTGTAATTATGAGATCTGCTGGCTAAAATACCTCATGTGAAAGTGATAACTGTGGTTTCATTGCACTACCTTTAAAAACCAAATAGATTTGAAAATAGTTTACACCTTAGACAATTATGCTTTGAATGTAGTTCGTGGTGGGAGAAGCACAAAATCATGGCAGTTCATGAAGAGGAAAGAATCACTTCAAGTGTTGACATACCTTAATGTTCACTTGTATGATGACTTGTTTTAAAGAAATGACAATTAAAACTGGTTAATGATTCACGCTATTTTCTAGACAGAGGTTTTTTTAAATGCATAGCATATCCATACTGAAAAGTTTCTTTCTTCCTCTTGATTGCATTTTATAAAACATAATTGTCATCTCATGCATGATGAACCAAGATGTTACTTGTATTTTCTCTACATACATTTGAGGTTAGAACTTGTAATAGTTAAGGTGCCATTGATCACATCTTCATGTAGCACCAGGTTTTGACTCTGGTGGCATTTATAGCATCTCAATGAGTGTCTGGGCTCCACTGTTTTAAGTACAGCATTACATAGATTTATAGATCAAGGGCAAGAAGGGGTAATGAATCATATAGATTGACTTCCTATATGTAATGACTTGATTAGCTTCTTTAGGTTTGTTTTTTATTCTGGTGACTGTAGTTAAAGCAAATAAAATCATCCATTTTTGAGGCTGCACTGGCAAAAGACAGTTTCCAGTTCTTTCTAGATTGTCATCTTCACAAGGTGCACAAGGGTTGTTCTGTGTGTAAAAAAAGCGTTAGTAAAAGTGCAGTGCCCGCTCTGCAGAACCTTGGACTTATGTATATAGAACAAACAAAATGAGGTCAAAAGAAAGTCCTGTCTTACAGGGAAAATGGACTTAGAGGGAAAGCCCACAGGGTCACACAGGAGCATCTAAAAGAGGCTGAAAATGCATCTGTGTTCTTTACGACACATGCTATGCTTTTAAGTGGAAAATGGTCCTTAACTCTCTTACACAAAAAGAAAGCTGGAAATAAGAAGGTGTGTTAGGCTTGTCTTACCTATCAGCAACGAGCTACCAGGTGGTAGACAGTGGTTTACAGTCTAACTAAGTATTTGTACATATCATTTGAGAGCCTAAAATTCTAGGAATCACTTTTGCTATGCAGTACAATGGAAAAATGATATTTGAAAGGCTGAATGAGTGTTAAAAAAAATTAATCAAAGTCATACTGTTCCTAGAAGTGGTGTGGTCAAGCTGGTGAAACCCATGATCATTTGTATGCACAGGAAGCTCTCCAAAATATGTTATACTTCAGTTCTTTTCGTCCCACTGTTGCTTTTTTGCATGATAAGTCACTACAGAATAAGTTGTACTGTTAGCTGGAGCACAGGAGCGCCCACTGCCCAGGGGCAAAAGGAATTCTATTGTGCTCTCGCTGATGGAGGGAAACCTGAAATTAATGTGTCCTTAAACTGTGTAATTCTGAGGTTATAGCCAGTACTCAGTGCTGACCTTTTAGAACTGCTCCTTTCAGATTTCACTGAAGAAGAATTTCACCACAAAGTTGGACTTGGCATATCAATGGCAAAATGTAAAACAACTGCTTAAATACTGTTTCTCTTTGGTGTTTTGTAGGCAGGGTAGACAGTTTGGAAATGTGTACCCTTCAACAACAGCATAAGCTTAGCTTTATGGACTTAAACCCTGCACTTTGGTCAGCAGTCACTTGGAGACTAATATATATTGGAGACTAATTAATATTGGTGAGAGAGAAGTGATGAATGAAACTTTGCCAACTCTGTAGTTGCAGAGCAGGCAGAGGAGGGTGGTGAGCAGACCCTGCTTTTGCATTTCCCTGCTGTCCTCAGTCTTTTCCACGGGTGATGCTGGTATCCAGCCTGTACATCCACTGAGGTGTTTGACTTCTGAGTGGGGGGTGGTTGGTGTACATCTTGGTTTTAGTAATTTGCTAGTTGGAAGTTGGCTATTATATGATGGTAGTGAGGATTTTTATCCTACTCCAGATTCAGTCAATTGACCTGAAGGTTAAAGTGTCTCCCTTCAATATCTAAAGTATTACTGCTTCCAGTAGACAATCAATAGAAACAAATATCTTGCTTCTTTTTAATGCAATGGTTACATGGCCCACATTAGAGGTAGAGATGGAGATTTTCCAGTGGAAAAAGAAACTAGAAGCAGCATTCATGTCATTGTTATCTATAGTATATTTGTAGTTGTGTACTCAAAAAATCTTAATCAGCTACAGGTGGTCTTGTTACCTTAAAAGGAAGACAAGTACAGCTTTTGAACTTTTTTTCCATATCTCCTATTTTCTAGGTCATAGAATTTCATAGGCTGATTTATTTGCATCCATGTTGATTAAGTAACATGGAAGTACTGCTATATTAATAGTAATTTCAACTTACATTATGTTAAAACATCTTTCTTGGTAGCAAGCATTGCAAGAACATGGATCTGGAGAGGACAGTGGAAAGTATGTGGATGCATGTCTGTGCATATAAGTTGTTTTAGGGGAAAGAAGCCAATTAGTTTTACAAGAAGGCTAATTAAAAATTCTTTGTGAAGAAACTCTTTATCTTTTCTCTCTGAAGTAATATATTACTTCTCTCTGAAGTAATAGTACAAAATTACATAATTGTCTTAATTTTGACCTGAGAAGGAATTCTCTTTTGAAATGAAGGGGGGCTGTTCCTTTTCTCGGTTATAACTTACTGAAGTTTTAGTCTTGGAGTAATCACTTTAATGAGAAGAAATTTGAACCCTTGTAAAGCCCGGTCTGTAATAGTAGTGATGTTCTTCATTAGAGTTGACCTGGTGCATGATCATTTGGGCAGATGGCACTGTGCAGGAAACATACTTTAAATTTTTAATGTAGAAAAGGAATCTTTGATCTACTGTTACAGTTGATCTTCAAAATATATATATTAAAAAACCCCAAACCACAAGGTATAGTCACCCAGTATTTCTATAAAAAGTTGAAGTAAATTTGATTTCAAGGCACAAAATTCCTCTGGGCAAGACGGCAAAGAATAATTGTTTGGAGAAGTTTGTATTGGAGACACTTTGGGCTATGGGGGAAGAGTCCTGATTTAATGATAATTTCTTTTTATTTTTTTCATGTTAAGTGTTTTATAACAGCAAGTTTTTAAAAATGCTCTAGATTATGGGTGCTTGAATAGAATATAATTGTTTGGAGAAGTTTGTATTGGAGACACTTTGGGCTATGGGGGAAGAGTCCTGATTTAATGATAATTTCTTTTTATTTTTTTCATGTTAAGTGTTTTATAACAGCAAGTTTTTAAAAATGCTCTAGATTATGGGTGCTTGAATAGAATATTATGCTTCTTTAGTTGTATGTATGTGAACAGTTTTCAGCAAATTAACACTGTCTGTCCTCAAATACATGCAAATATAATGGAAAAAGTACATTGTGGATTACTTTGATTTGTTTATGATTTAAGGAACTTTTTGTGTCTTGCTTCACACTTCATAACTGAAAGCTATGAAAGTCTGAAAGCTGAAACTATTTCTTTTCTTTCCAAGTAAAAGTCAAGTGTCTTATGGGTGAAAACAAAAGGTGAGGTCTCAAATACAACTCCTCACTGTGTGATTTAAAAAAATGTTGTATATATTGGAGTGTATTAAAATTAAAACCAGAAGTGTATATGACTGGAGTTTCTAAACCTGCTGTTCTGCTCCTTTAGTTCTTTTGAACTAGCCATAGCATATTTTGATAGCTCAAGCAGCAAGTGGCAATCTTTAGAGCTTGGCAGAGTCATACTTCACAGTAACAAAGAATTGAACTTCTGTGCTTTAGTGTGCCATTAAGCTGCAGTCTCACGTTTCAGTGCCTGGGAATTGATTTACTGATTTGATTTTCTGAGACATATGGTGATAATAATAATAACACTGTATAAGCATTATTTAAAAATACAATAATATACCAGTATTGAATCTTTGGCAAGCCAGTACCGAGGTGCGCACACAAACTACCACCATTTATTTTAGTTTAGTCTCATCCAATTTTAAACAAATGAAAATCAATACTGCTTGTGGATATCTGTGGCTAGATTGGAGAGAGAAGTGAAGTGGCATTGTTGCCATTGTACAAGAAAACACAAATGCTTGAATTTTATGTATGTTCCTCTTTTGCCTTTCTTTTTCTGGATCTTTTAGTGCATTGTACAAAGATAGACTTTTTACAGTTATGACTGTGGTGTGTGTTCTCTATGTAAAATGCATGTGTTATTTGCAATTTTAATGTAGAAATAGGAAATGAATGCTTATGAAGTTCACTGCCTTTTTTGATGCTTATTGATGCATGGAATGATACGGACTTTAAACCTGTTAGAGTTAACAAATACTGTTTTTGTCTTTCAGATATGTGTCACAAAGATGTCTACACGGAACTGCCAGGGAATGGATTCAGTGATCAAACCTCTGGATACAATTCCTGAGGATAAAAAAGTTCGAGTTCAGAGGACACAGAGTAGTTTTGATCCATTTGAGAAACCAACTAATCAAGTGAAGAGGGTTCATTCAGAGAACAACGCTTGCATTAACTTCAAAACTTCGTCTGCAGGGAAGGAATCACCTAAAGTCAGGCGTCACTCCAGCCCCAGCTCTGTAAGTGCACAGTCCTGATATCTCTGTGTGTACCAAATGGTGGAATTAAGGGCATCAGATAAATATTTTCTTGCTTAAAAAGGAACTGATTAGTTGGAAACAAAACAAAAACGTCATGGCTGCTATTAAAGATGTTTTCTATATATATTTGTAGTGTCGTTAATATGATAGAATCAGAAAATAGAACTTGAAAAAGAATAGATTATGAAATTCCTGTCAGATATTAATTAGGGTGTCTTATGGGATTTCTAAGCATTTTCTTCTCCTTATCCTGGTATTGCATTGCAGCTGCTATAATGTTTATGCTGCATGTTTTGCAGAGGATTGCTTATTTGTGAAGAGGAATTCTTTCCCATGAAGTTTAGGAAACCACGTGAACTGCGTTTTTGAATTTTAGATTTTGGTTTTAGAGAAACAGATCAGATTTTGTTTACATTTTAAAATTCTCTTTTTAAAATCAAGTAGTAAAAATAACATTTATTTCCATATCAGAAACTCTTGAGAGAGAGAGGAGAGAAAAAACAACTGAAAAGAGTTTGGCAACACATCATAATTGTTTTATTCTCAAATATTTTGAAAGCAACTAGATAAATAAAATGTCATATCTTTCATGAATAATGCCCAGAACAGATTTCCCCCAAAAGACCTTCAAAATTATTGAAAAACTATTACTGTTATGCTTTGGCAAGAAAAATCCATAATAATGTGACCTTTGAGTTGAAAACTACAGATCTAAGCAGAATGGATGTACCACTTCAAATCTTATTTGGCGTGAAATAATTTAAAAGGTTAATTGACTCTTCTTTTTTCTTTTCTTTCTTTTCTTTGTTTTGCTCTATCTTCTGGACATCTTCTGTCCACCCTACAGAAGTTTGACTGAATCCTGTCAGACTTCTAACAAGAAATGACAGAGGTTCATTTTCTGTAGATGAGCTGTGTTTAACCCATGTGAATTTAGCGGGTAAGATGTCATGCCTCCAGGGGACTGTCCTTTTTAGAAAAGGTTACATTTTAAAATGTAACCATCTGTAGCAAAAACAAATTTGCTTTTTCATCATCGCCTGGCATTTTATAGCTGCTGCCAAAGATATCTCTAGTGTATTTAATCTGAGCCCATGACAAGGAGTTCTTACCATAAAACTTTTAAAATCATTAAGGATGGATGAAGTGGTTTGCACCGTGTTTACTTGTCTGTGATGCCTGATTATTGTTTGTCACCACAACTATTGATTTAAATTATGAGTTTTGGAAGGTCTTAAGGTTTTTTTTGTTATTAACTCACTCCTCATCTCTGCTGTTCCTCTTGGAAACTGTTGATAATTTTTGTTGATGCTTTATGCACTTCTTTTTCTGTTAAAATTGAAGGATTTCAGTTGCTTTGCTTCTAGAATTTTGAAGCAGATGTTTTTGAAACTGTGTTTTTAGCATCTTATTCTTTTCCAGACGGCTGATACTCTACTACATCCATACAATCTCCTAAGATCCCGTTATTTTCTTATGTAAATTATATTAATGCTTCCTCTACTGGTACGCTCTTGATTAGAGCCCTAGCTATACATAAGCTTTTGGTCATTTTTGTCTGTGCTGACTCACACAGACTTGCTGGATACAGGAGATGCATAGGAATTTCTTGAAACACAATTCTAATTTCTTAGCTTCCTGTAATTCCCCCAGATTTTTAGAGCTCTGTTCGGTGAACTCAGTTCTTCCTTCTGCTTGGAGGCATTGTTAGTAATTTTTGACTCTTTCTTACAAGGAGTGATCCAAAGAGTACCTGTCAAGGAGTAACCTGTGGAATAATGGGAGTGTTCATGCCAACGAAGAGGGAAGAGCAGAATTTCACAGAAAAAGGTGGTGTTAGCCCTCTGCTGATCAGGTCACACCTGGTCCTGCCCAGCAGACCTGAGTTCAGCCATCCAAGGCAGAGATATGATCAAGCTGCTCATTTCCTGAGCCTGAATACTTTGCCTTGGGCAGTAGATGTTCTGATGCACATTTCATTGAGTGATACCTGTTGTGATTAGTTGCAGAAATTTATCATTCTGTGGTTTTGAATTATACTTGAATTGACAAAAGGTTTGGGGTTTCCTTTTTTTTTCTAGCCATGATGTTGTCTAGCAGATGTCCTTGCTACTTCCTCTTCTGTTCATTACTTCTTTTTATTCCATGTTAGAGGACTGCTACACATTCTCCCTTACTGAGTTCATACTTGATTCTCTGGAAATTTTCCTCTTGTATAGGTTATACCAGTCCGAACGGGCACTTCAGTTTCTGTAAATGTTCTTGAGCATGCTATGCTCTCTGGGTCATTCTGGCTACAGTTGTGGAATTGTGTTTCAGTTTTGGCTCTACTTTCTTAAGCTTTATTTTAAGATACTCTGATAGGTGTATGGTACCTTTAATTTACACTTTCCATGCTTGATTAGTAGAGGAACTGAATTAGAGATAGGCTTCAGTTTCTACTCTGATAGGTGTATGGTACCTTTAATTTACACTTTCCATGCTTGATTAGTAGAGGAACTGAATTAGAGATAGGCTTCAGTTTACTCTCTTCCCTTTCATCATTTAAAGTCCTTTGTAACCATCAGATAGGGAAGTGATGTCTTACAGAAGGTGCATGGCTAAGGCTTGCAGTTTCCATATCACTGCTTCTGCTCAGGTAAAAGTCCTTTGTCTCAGAAATAACATTTTTTAAGACGTTACCTGAAAGACCTTGTTTATAATGCCCTGGGGTGTTACTTCTGCTTTGATTAATTTCAGAAGTTTTATCAGCTCTCTGGCAGGTATCAGCTTCAGTGTTTGGTGAAGATCACCAAATACTCCGCAGGTGGCATGTTACCCATTTTGTGTTTTACATAGCTTTGAAATACTCTGCACCTTGTGATGAGAAAGATGAAACACACACAGAGTTTTGGGGAAGCTGGAACTCTGTGTTCCTGCCCACAGATTGTCTCTTGGAAAATAAATCTCTTGCTTTTGAACATGAAGTAATTTTCTTCAGTTAATGTCAGAACTCGCTGCAACCTGGTAGAAATCCTGTGTGGTTAATTAGTGCAGTAGCACTTTTTTTCGTTTGTTTGTTCTTATAAGACAAACTTAATTTTTACACTTAAAACCTTTCCACCTTCTCCCCTTGGTCTGAACATAAGAAAACATCTATGAGAGTGATTTCCAAACTGCTTAAGCTGATTGAAATTGGATACTATTATGGAATGAATTTTCCAGCAGAACAGACTTACTCCTTTATCACATCAGTGGATAACTTGGAGATAGTGAAGTAAGTGTTTGCCTACCTGTGCATCACCTGTCAGCCACTGTTAGAAGGGAATTAGGCTTGGCAAATGTTTTCTCTGATCCATCCCAACACAATATGTGTGTGTGTATATACATATATATTATACACATGTAGCTATAGTTGACTGTATTTACCTGTCTGTCTCTCTCTCTGTCTATATCTTATCTTTCTAAAAATCTCTTGCTCAGTTTTTTTGCCTACAAAAGGAAGAAACTTGCTTTTCTTTTCTCCTTAACTGAAGAAAAGGTAAAACTACGAAATAAACTGGACAAAATAAAAAAAGCACAACTGAGAAACAAATACATGCAAGTCTTCCCAAAATTGCACTGGTTTTGATTGTAATTGTCTGAAGGTTTTATTTGAGATCCATGCTCTTTTGGCACATGACCTTATTTATTTCTCTACAGTGCAAGGTGAAGTTTTCTTGCATTCGGAGTACACATTCTATACACAAAAATAGTCCTTTTGCACAGTATGTAAATAGAATATTGCAAGTTTTATAAGCTAGCCATCTGGTCAAGATATAGTTGAGTAGTGATACGCATCAGTTTATTCTCTTTGAGTGGCTTAAGTTCCTTGGCAATGAATTCACATGTCATGCTGAGGTATATGTCCTACCTTTCAGTTAGTTTTTAAAAAATAAATGAAGCAAAACACTAACCTTCTGCTAACTCACATAAATGTAAAAAACCCATTCAAATAAAAATAATTGGATAAGCAATGCTTTACTGCATTGACTCTACTCTTTTTGGGAGAGAAGCCTCTTTTCTATTTCTGTAACTTGTATTAATTTTCAGTCCTGATATGTGCAACTTTCCTCCAAAAAGTACAACCAAAATGCATGAATCCTTTTATGATCCTGCTGATCCTATTAGCATGTTGTAAATCAGCTGTGTAAGAAATCTAACTTTAAAACAGACACTAATGTCAGGATTTTATCCAAAAGTTAGGCAACATTTTTGTCTGCCTAAACACTTGCTGTGCCATTCTTGCCTGTCTTCCTCTTCAGGTATATGCAACCTTCTCCAGTTTTAGGAACCTGTTAATTAGTAGGGTAACTGTATCCCTCCTGGTTGATATATTTTATTGAGGTAGGATAATTTCAGAATTCAGTATAGAGAATGGATTTTTCTTTACTGGTACAAAGGAAGCGTTAATAATCGTTAACCTGAGGGATACTCTCTAGATGAGAAGGCAGATAAAATGTGGCAGTTGAGCCAGTTCCTGTGCTCTCATAGCCTGGAGAATAAGTGAACAGCTTTAAAAACTGAATCCAGCCCTTTCACAGAAAGCTCTATGGTTGCTTCTGCACAGGTTGCTCTTAATTTATGTCTGTGTGTTAAAGAGTTAGGAAGATGCAAACAAGAGAATGGGGCCAGATAGTGGGAGAGCTGATATTAAGGCTTGGTTTGGATTCTTGAATATCTTTGTATTCCTTGAATATCGCCCTAGAAAACAGTCCAACTTTCAAGGTATGATCAAATTGAGCTGTTATTGGATGCAACCTGAAATTAGTGTGAAAATTGCATATGGTTTTGTGAAAGAAGGTTTACCATTGTGTCAAAGAAAAAAAATATAAACTTATTAAAAAATAATTATTATCTTTCATTCTTTTTGATTTCATCTTGGTTAAGCCTCTTGGCCAGCCTTTTATGTTCAAGTTTTTCCAGCAATGAATTTGTTCTTTTTGAGGTGTAAAACAAAA